GAAAGCATCTAGTTCTGATTCGTCAGCTGCTGATGTTGGAGAATAGCAGTTGATGATGCTGATGGTCTTCTGATGTGGAGGTCGTAGTCGTAGGATGCCTAGTCGAGGTGATAGGATCTCGTGCGAATCGACAAGATGGACGATAGATGGGTGGACGACAAAGCCGACGCCTCCCACGTTTCGTGATGGAACCTTTTCACCACGAATGATGAGGGTCTCATCACTCATCTGTCGCACGTCCTTCTTCCTGGACTTCGTTTCCTGCAGAGCAATGATGTGGAACTTGATGTGCTCTGCAGCGTCGAGAAGAGCGTGGAGGTCGGCGTTTGTGGAGACTGTCCTGGCGTTGTAAGTGCAGAGCATGAGGCAGTCTCCATGGCGTGTCGTCCGGGCAGACGTGTCGTTTTTGTCCAATCCGAAAGGCGCCCTGAGTACCCTGACATCGTTCTTGCTACCACCCGGCGCCGTAGGCGGGATCCGATGTACAGGGTTTTTTCTAAATCTTCTTGCTGTCTGAGTAATAAAATTTGTTCCCCTACAAGAGGTGGCTTACTAGGCCTACTCTTGATTTCCACGGGGTGATCGCTGACCCCGGGCTTGGAGCGGGGAGGGACCGCCTAGCGACCAGAAGAAGCCAGACGGCGGAGAATCTGGCGCGGCCAGTTCTTAGCTAGGCATCCGGCCGAAACCGGAAACGTCGAACTCCTTCACAGCTTGGGAGGCCCTGCCAGAGTATACACTCGGCTGTGCATCGCAGTTCGACACCCAGTGTCACCCCCACGCCGCGATGAGGCGACCGACCATTGTGGGGGAATGGTAGTGAGATAATGTACAAACGAATTTAAGAACCCTTGATGATTTTCGAAATGAAGCTATTGCAGTCAGTGGAACAGCTTAATCAATCCAACCGCTGTCAGTTTGAGTGGTTTTGATTTCGCTGCTTCTGGTGCCGACTCATAAACTTCGCTGAAGAGCGTACCGAAAACATTTGAAGGCAGCACTCTATGACGTCATCAGCGCGACTTCTTTGGTGCCGGGTGCGTTGTCATTAGTGGTAAACAACGCCGGAACATACACACTCCATGCTGACTCACATGGGGGTGCTAGCGCTTTATATAATAGTATGGATTATGTGAATGAAAAGAGTTGTAAATCTTTTTCTGATTTAGGTTGCTCCTGCGCAACCTGGGAGCACCCTGAGGTTTCGCGGACCAAACAAAATCATAATTTTCTCCTTTTCACATAATTTAAAAACTTTGTTTTACACAAATCTATTCTTCAGTTTGAACTATACCTATGCATGCTTACCTTAATCGAAATTTCGTCCTCTCTGCCTTGCTACGCCCTTGAATGATTTAAATCCGCTTGTTTCGATGTTTTATCTCCGATTTTCCTTTCTATTCTTGATTTCCATTCAGTCATCGTTCCTGCAGGTTATTAGAGCCGTACTTCTACAAAATCGCAGAAGTTATCTCGTAACCTTTCGCAATGTTAAGAGGGACTTCGTGTTCAAAACGAACGCCACCTCGTGCTGGTCCCTGGCTCTACAAAGTGACTCTCAAACAAATGCACAGATTTCATTCCACATTGAGTGAAAAATCGAATTGTTAAAACAATTTTAAAAGTCCGAAAAATCGAAATACTAAAAACTCGAAAAAATTCTTGGAAGCTCTAACATATTCACTCAGATACAACTCTTATCTATCATATACAGGGTGTCCCAAAAAATGTGAACACTGTTTGATCGTTAATAACTCCGTTGTTTTCATGTCTTTCGCCGAGCTTGAGGCACCATTCTGTAGGGCGAGGTTCAACTTAGATTCATAGTATGAAAAAAAAACAAATCAGCGATCGCTCTTCGTTACTGTAGGATTACGGTATGAACTTCTAGCATATGGATCTATTGTGAAATATGCCATCTGACTAAATTTTTTTCAAAAAATCTAAAAAATTGTGTACTAGATTTTCATGCGCGCTGATTCCACTACACAACTTTTTAAGAGTGTTTTTGGCTTTTTTGACGGTGTAATCACATTTCTGACAAGTACTGGAAATTCATTATTACGGTTTAGCTCGGATAACCTTGGAAAGAAGCATCACAGTAAAGTGGAAATCTCATATTCGAAATCAGCGGCTTCCATTACCATACTATTACAGTCTATGGCTTGTTTGGTTTTGATCCGAGGAGAATATGGCCTCCAGTGGCCTAAAATCCTTGTCGAAATTACTACCGTACTCCTACAGTAGTGAAGAGCGATCGACGATTTGCTCCATACTGTAGATTCAAGTTAAACCTCGCTCTATAGAATGGTACCTCAAGCTCGGCGAAAGACATGAAAGCAAGGGAGTTATTAACAATCAAACAGTGTTCACATTTTTGGGACACCCTGTATATGCACACTTGCTGTATTTTTCCCATTGCTAGAAATCGGTAAAAGAAAATTTGGCAGTTTTTGAGGTGGTGCTGAGCTGCCCTGCATATGTAGGTAATTTTATAGCATAAGCTTTTAGAGGTTCAATCACAAATTTTTGGTCTTCTAACATAAGAGCGTTACTTTTCGAGAAATTTCAATTTTAGCGTAAAAAATGCTCCAGAAAATGACGATTCGTTATTTCAGCCCATTTCTGCTTTTCAATCTCCTGGACTGTAGAAAATAGAGCAAACGTGCATAAAAAACAAGATGGACAGTGTGTATGCGTAAATAAGTCAAAGCCTCTTGGAGATTCTCTAAGCGGAGTTCTGAGTTTTTCTCGAGCTAGCTTCTAGAAGTTTTTTCATTTTGATTTTTTACTTACAAGGGAAGGATACTTAATCGAAGTGGCGTTTCAATACAGAATGTATACTGTCTTACAGAGCGTAAAACACTGATTTCAAATCCGCTTCCCATATCTGCAAAGCGCTTCTGGGACGGGAGTTATGAGAATTTTTGTGATGCAAAAATTTGAACGTGGCTATAATATCAAGTGGTAAAGAAAGTTCCGGGCACTTGCATATTTTCCTCAAATTGCTGTAAGTTCAAGCGGATTGATTTTTGTGTAAAGGTACAAACTTCATTGCAAAGGATAATGTTTTCTATAACATACACTAGTCTTTGCTTTTTCAGCACCTTAGTACGGTTCACCAGCGTGTGCAGAGGGGCAAGAGGTCGACGCGAAAAGTTGCCTATTTGCGCAAGATCATCTCAGGCATGATGAGAGCTGGAGAGCTCAGATGCTGTGCTTATATAGAAGTCCACTAGGGTTATTATGTAGACTATTTAAGCATTTGAGCGACCATCTGCAAAATCTCAAAGAAAGTTTGAAAAATCGAACATTTTTGTTCCCAAAAATGCACTATTTTGCGAGTAAGTGACTTTGAACTCTTCCAGTTCTACACAGAACGGACCGCATCTTTGATTCAGCGAACATTGTAGGGGGAATGCCTTACACATCTTTTGAACCCTCACCCAGGCCAGGCTATTGCAGAAGAAGCGACGATAGCTGCGAAGAGAGTTGCAGTCAGAGACAAGTTTGGCAACTTGTAATTTTTGAGCGCAAATCGCAAAACTCGAGTGCAGCTGCGTAAATCAGAAGTTCAAAGGCTTCTCATTCAAATCACCCATGATTTGGACGAAATTCTTTGGACTGCACAAGAAGAAAAATTGTGAAATTTTTATGGTAGGGAAGATTTATTTTTTTAATGTGCAGATCAAACACGTTTCGGCTTGGATAAAAACGAGAAGCTGTTTTGAAAAGTTTAGGTTCCTCGCTACTGAACAGTTTAAAAACTTGATGTCGAAGTCCGACCGAGCGCCAAAAAAATGCGTCAGAAAATGAAATTTCCAAAAGTGCCCAGGAATTTTTTTTACAGCCTAATACATGGGTAGAGTAAATGGAAGGTATCCACTATCAATTCCAAAGATTTCTGAATATTACTCAAAACCAATGGTCAGTTCAAAAGTGTCTTGTATACAAAAATACCGGCAGGTTCACTTTCGTTTGAAGTGTACAACGCAGCGGGTTCAAATGGGAAGTCGCGAAAGTTCGCGGTGTCAGATAAAAGAGTAGGAAACTTTCCTTAAGATAGCGCCCCTGCCCAGAAAATTAGCAGTGTCTCAAAGAATTTCCTTAAAACTCAACATTGTCAACTCTTCAGCTCCGTCATCCTTCACCGCTCCTAAGAAACTGTTTTTCAAAGCTGGCTTCCGCATAATTTTTTAGTATGGATCAAACCACTGCTGCCCGCTTCTATCACTGTGAATTACGATGGAAACCTTGAGAATTTTTAGCCACTAAGGATCTTTGGCTATAAAATATGATCAACTAAGCTAAAATCTCTTACATTAGCTAATCATAGCCGCTGGCAAAAAGTTGAAAGTCACACTTTACCGCAATGCCTTATTCTTCTTCAGTTTATTCTTTATGCAAGAGATAAGGTAACTAAGAGACACATTCTTGGGAAGCCTTATACATCAATATGCCAGCCCCACTGTGTTACTTTGCAAAATGAATATTGAATTGTTTCTAGTTTAAAGCGAAGCGATGGTCAAGCAACTGAATAATTAGAAAACACTTAACTCGCTCAGCTATCTGGCTATAAAGGCATAAGCGCATAGGTTGCCACAGTTTTCGTGTATCATGGGATTTTTGCACATCAATACGAGGACGTAATGATCTTAGCCTTAGCCTTGATACATGGTTTCTCGACATCATTTTAACAAAACTGCTAGAAGTCAAAGACCAACATCAATCGCTCATACTATAAACACTGCGTAGCGTTTCTTCTTTTACTATCGTCATTTCACTGATTGCCCCGTTATCGTACTAGACAGGCGGGTTATCAATCTGCAATTCACAAGCGTCCAAAAAATAGACGCGGTTCAAAGTGAACAATTCCAACGCTGTGCTTAAGTACCTGGAGCACAGCGTATTGCAAACTGCATCTATATTTCTCAGATGTTCATAATTTCCATTCGACCTGCAGTAGCGTTATAAATGATATTTTTCTACTTTACAGGCTTATGAATGCTGCCACAGAGATTGCGTTGCATGCCCATGATAGAATCCTTGACTTTCTGCGACGGATTGATCCTTTATTATTAACCTCAGCTACTGCGCTTTCTACCTATTCTATAATCTATTTATGGAACCTTCACACAGATGATATAGGTAATACTTAATTTCTTCCGGAATTTTAGCACATATTTTCCGTGTTACATTTTCTTTGCTAAGTTTTCTGATTCCAGGGATTCGACGAAGATTAGCAAGACAATTTTTTTCCTTGATAAGAGCATTTTCATTTGTGAAGAAGAGAATAAATGTAAGCTGATGTGTCACTGGCGTAAACTTGATGCTATCTGATTTTAGAACGAAATTATCAAAGCTGAAGAATCTCTGCACAAAACAATTCATGAGCACAATGGCGACCAACTTTTCCTAACCAAAATTCCCACCGAGGCCATTGACTCTGATAGTCTTATACAGCTTATCGAATCTTATGATAGCCTAGGTAAAAGTGTAAACTATTGTATCATTGATTTGTTGATATAGATATAGAACACTATAGAAGGCCCTCGCTATCTCGAAGGAAAAGTTTCGGGGGCGGTCTTCAACGATGAGAAAGATATGGAGGAGATGAAAGTATATGAAGAGGTGAGAAATCACTTTTTTTCTATAAATACATGCAATGTTTTTCTTGATTTTATGTGGTAGAATATGACAATTGAGTTCAATATAACCTTCAGGTCTTCAGAAAGTTTGCCTGGTCCAATCCGCTTTGGCCAAAGCTTTTTCCGGGTGTACGGAAAATGGAAGCTGAGGTGGTACGCATGTGCTGCACACTTATGCATGGAGATGAAAAAAGCTGTGGAACGGTATGTCTTACTTTTTGAATGTGCGTAAATTATGAAGGCGAATAAAAAGTATTATGGGATGGAAATGGAATAATATGAACTAGGTTCCAGTGACAGGAATTATAAAGTTTTCTGCAACTATTGCTCTTGTTCATTTTGATGTAAGGAATTTTGGTTGCATTCAGATGTCCACCGGTGGAACAATATCCATCCTACTTGCGTGCCTTGCTCATCGCAACAGAGCTTTGAAAAACGGAGTTCTTTTTCCGGAAATGTAAATATCTTTGTGCAAAGTTTTGCCCTTCACTGCATGACAGGTTATTTAGTATTTAGGATTATCCCATCTTCAGCTCATGCTGCTTTTACGAAAGCAGGTGAAGTGTTCCGGATACGTGTCGTTCAAATACCAGTCGATCCAAAAACCTTCAAAGTAGATCTGAAGAAAATGAAGTCAGCAATAAGTAGGAGAACATGCATGGTGAATTTTTATTTAGCCCGCTGCTATAGTCGAGCGTTATTAAGAATTCCAAAATAAAATGTAATTTTTTACAGCTCGTAGGTTCAGCGCCAAATTTTCCATTCGGGACCGTAGATGATATTGTCGAGATAGGAAAACTTGGACTTTCGGTGTGTTGCGTTTGTTCAAAAGCCTTCTGAAAACTATTGGATGAACATGTCCTTTCAGAACAACATTCCTGTCCACGTCGATGCATGCCTAGGAGGCTTCCTTCTGCCATTTGTAGACGCTCCACCGTTTGATTTCAGAGTTCCCGGAGTTATCTCCATTTCAGCTGACACGCATAAGGTGAGGATACTCGAATATGCGCATATTGTTATTGTTATTTGAACTTTACAGTATGGGTTAGCCCCGAAAGGGTCATCTGTTATACTTTACAAAAACAAAGATTACTTGCACAACCAATACTTTTGTGACGCGGATTGGCAAGGAGGAATTTACGCATCCTCTACGTTGGAAGGTAAAGACTTATTTCCAAGTAGCACGAAATTAGTCGTTTTGTATAAATGCATCTACACAAATTTCGAAGGCATTAAATGATGACATGGCGACACATATAGAGCCATATCGGTTGCGGTACGCAGGCTCAGATGCGTAATGCCGTTGTTGCTTGAATAAACAAAACCACTCTATTACTTCCGAAAACAGAAAAGCTAGACAGCGAAAAACAGTTAGAAAAAGAGGAAACTATTTTTTTTATCTTCGAATCGCTTAAATGAATCGTGAGGAGAGTAGACGTATGTAACTTCATCATTTGAAAAAAATGCTATCAAAAATCATTTTTTCTGTAAGCTTAATTTTAACCCTCTGAACCTTTTTTTTACAATTTTCGAAAATGTCTGATCCGCTTGGGATCCAGCGGGACAAGAAAACTGTTGCCGTCTTCATCAACAGAACCCAGTGGCTAACTGAATCTCGACCATGGCTAGCCTACCCACCGGGTTCGTTGATGAAACGGCCATGAAATCAAGTCAACTGTTGATCATTGAGAATAAAACTGTGTTTACAGGAAGCCGATCTGGTCTGAATATAGCTCTGTGCTGGGCATCACTGCTGTTTCATGGAATTGAGAAGTATGAGAAGCATGCTCAAGCAGTGGTGGAAACTACGAAGAAAATTAGAGACGGGTATAATATTCACTCATCAGCAGTATCACGACTTAATCGAGCTAAGTCTTTTGCAGAATAAGGGCAATGCCAGAATTACGCTTGCAAGGTGAATCCGACCTCTGCATAGTAAGCTGGAGCAGCGACACACTCGATATTCATCGCCTTTACGACCTCATTGGCAAGAGAGGATGGCAACTCACAAACCTACAGTTTCCTTCAGGGTATCAAATTTTACGTAGCGTTAAAGGTTTGCGACAATACAAAGATTTATTTACAGCATCCACATAATGGTAACTTCGAATCACACAAAGGATGGCGTCGTGGGGCAGCTTCTTGAAGACATCAGAAAGTCAATAAATGAAATTTTAGCGAATCCAAATGCGGAGTTGGAAGAAGCAGTAAGTGTTTTGATATTGTTTGCATCCATGAAAACAAAAGTTTAGGCAGCGCTTTATGGAATGGCACAAAAGATACCGGATCGATCCATAGTCAAAGAATTTGCTTACATCTATCTTGATGCTTGCTATTCTGCGCCAAAACAAACAAAATAAATCTATTATTCAATGACAACTAGTGAAAGAAAGAGAAGATGCTTGAGTACAAAGGTATACTTTGGAAAATCTTTATGTTAAAGTTAGGCAATTTGAGTCAGCCATTAGGTTATTTCGTAAAGCACAATGAATGAGCTTGGATTGTGTGTTATCACCAGTAGTCGTTCACTATTGCTCACTAATGCTAACACTAAGCAATAATCATTGACCGCGAGCAAGAAAATATGGTCGGAAAGTTGGGAACCTAAAGCCTGGAGCGGGTGCTCTACCTATTTGAATTCCTGCTCTATGGCAGAGTAAGCATGCCGCCACAGTTAAAGTCATAGGGTCCCGCATCGAGTCTGCATCTCAGCCTTGGCGGAAACCGTCCTAATTACAAGGCTTTAGAAAGGATGTTCTTGCTTTGGCTTTCCGATATTTTTTCGGGTTTAGTGTTGGGATAACCCCAGATAAGCGATTTTCATTCAAGTTCTTGCCCTGACACCGAAATCAAACTAAATCAGTTGAAGGAGCAATATTTATGACGCAATCTGAATCGATGCATTGAATACATAGAGCCTATTATGTTCTCCATGATTTTGAGAAAAAAATATGTAGGCATTTTTGGTCAATTGAGCTTGATAATCTAGCATGTTCAGGCAAGCATAACAGTTTGGTAAAATAAGGTAATGCTTAGAACTCCTGCTGTGTTTTTCAGTAACAATTACGCCAAGATGCTTATCAATAAACAACCAAGCGAAGCGTGTACTCATCTCTCTCTTTTTTGGTGCATTGCGCCAAGACATCATAGTCCTTTATCAGTACCGATATTTGATACAGAGTACGATAGACATGATATAAAATTCTGTACATCTGATTAGCAGCAATATGAAAAAATGTAGGAATCATGGCATGTGTAATTCGTGGGACAGAAGCGATCTTTACAGGATTTACCAAACCGTGTTTCTTGCCAACCATCTCGCATCTCAGAGTATGGTGGTCGTCCATTGGGGCATGTTGGGTGATAAGCCTTATCCCATCGATCTAAAAGAAGCTCAAAAAATGGGTCTGCCAAGTATCGCTAAGCTTACCCTCGTTTGCCTTGCTGCAGCAAAAACCGAAAAAAGCTCCCATTACGCATTTATGGTCCTTCGGGCAACCGTCTTCATTCAATTTTGGACCGTTTCTGGGTGGAGGCAGAGTAGAAGGGCGCGCAGGATCTGATTTGTCGATATGAATGCTCAATTTCGCTCGATTTTGTCAGTACCTGGCGGATACGATATAATTGTAGGAAAAAGATTTCCGCATATCAAAGCTTGACCATTTGTTCCTCGCGCTGCCGGATACATCCCACCGCATCCCGAGAGGTCTTCTAAAGCAACCACGCTAGATTTTCTCTGTACCTGTTGCCACCCACAACTCGCACCCCAAAACACCCGCAATCGAATGGTCACATCGTCAAAAAATATAGAACTTACGAAGTTTACAATCAAATGAACAATCCGAGGAGGTTCTGTAGTTGTTCTCATTGCCGCCGCAGCCGAGGTATTCAAAAGCCAAACAAGCAAATGTCTGATAGTCGAAGTAATACTAAAAATTACATATTTGCACCAATTCTAGAAAAGACAAAACAAGCTTAAACGCGTACGAACTCTAATAGAGGGTTTTACGCCATTGCATGTTCTTCCTCTGTCTCGGTCTAGTTTACAACTTTCTTTCCCTACTGGATATCGCTCTTGTGGTTGAAAAATCTCAGGCGTTGACAAAGCAGGATCGAGAGAAAAGTCTGATACACGTACAGAATATCTTAGAGAGCCTATGGATAGAAAGACCCACCCATGTTGTCACATTTTATCCGCTGATTTTTCTCCTTTCGTTTCCTCGTATTTGGCAATTCTCTTCCAGTGACAGGGTCAACACAATAGCAATACTCTTGCCTTGCATCACACTGCAGTGGCTCGTAGTTTCCTGAAAATTATTCTCAAGCAAGAATATCATTTGACTTTTTTGTAGCTTCAAAAAACGAGAAGTGAATGTGGAACTAGTCCGTTTAAGTGCATTTGCAACTGCTTAGATGGATGAAAAACGCGCGGAACTTGTCATCGTCACTTTCATGTTAATCTCGCGGCAATCATAATTTTTTCAAAAATTGTTCCTGCAGCGAACCTATTTGTAAAAGATTGTATGGCACTTATCTCTAAGTGACTAAAAAGGAAAACTGGGCAGAAGATTAAGCCACTAATATGTCCACAGCAACTAAAAAATATGGAGGTGCCTTTGTAACTTGTAAGTTTTAAATGCCTTCTGCCTATAAACAATCATAGTGCACTGCCCGCTCTGGCCATGTGCACCTAGGCTTACTCTCGTATATAAACTGTGCTCGAATAGAGTTGAAGACAACTTACCTAAGGAAACATCACACTTGGGTATAGATGTGTTTTTTGGTGGATCACCTGCGGCAAATATGCGTTTCAGGGTGTTATGGCAGTCTGAAATAATTAGAAACACTTTTGTATAGATAGAAGTCAATGTCTCTTCTTGTGTATGTATGAACGTGTTCAAATAAACTGACTTTCTAACAATGTTTGGATCAGGATTATGGGACTTACTGAGCGAAGTCGGAGAAGGGGGGGGGGACGAGTGACCATCCGAAGGAACTATATTGCAACTATATTGTTATTGTTATTATTATTGTTTGAATTATATTGTTTGGGCGACAACGCCTTCTTCGGAGTCTGAAAAGACCAAAAACCATTGCAACCTGCACCTCAAGCACTCCATCTGATACAAAGGCCTAATTAGGTAGCTGGGATGATGGCAGGAGAGATTGCGCTATGCTGACGCTTACCTTAGTAGCCAGGGCTATCAAGAATGCGGTTAGCTACTGTAGAATTAGGTTTTTGTATTCCCAGCCCTATAGCCCAGCTACCCACTGTTAAATTAGTTCTTTGAATCAGATGCGGTGCAGGCTGCAACGGTTCTTTTGGGCTTCGAAGAAGATGGGCCGAAACGCTTACCAGTTCAATAAGAATTATTGACCTCCTGACGACGGCCCAAAAATGAAGCTGGACTTATCCATTACTTTCATCAGTTTGTCGATTTTTGTTTTTTTTTGAGTTTTGAGCTGGGACGCTAAAAGATATGGGAGGAAAAGGGAAGAAGGTAAGCGAGCATGCTATCAAGAGTAGTAATAGTTGAGTAGTAAAGCAAGTTGAGGGCAGGGGACCGACATACACGAATGGAAGAGAGATAGAAAAATTCTAGTGAAGTGAGACAAAATGGTGAGTCCTGTCACTGTAGCTGATATATTGAAAAAGTAGCTTCTCCTTACGAAGTGGGTTTGCGTTACAGAGAAAAATCGTTTAATAATCACTTGAGCATTTTGGTGCGATCCTATTGCTATCCGTGCGAGTGTCGTAGGCTATCAAGCCGTTATGAGCGGCTACACAAAAGCAGCCATTTGCGTCACATTGCACAGTCTCGTAGTAACCTGTCATAGGTAGATATTGGTGCTCAACAAAAACAAAATGTTGCAGAAAGTTCACAGCAACACAACTGACTACAATTTAGAAAGAGGTTTTTACCTGCTTCAGTGCAATTCATGCCGTCATCATTTAGAACACACGGCCCAGTTCGTGGAAGACTGAAACTTGCTGCAGTAAAAACGGAGGCTATCGGATGAATCACGGAGGACCCACACTGGTATTCGGGGTTGTGTAACATTGAAAGACCTCTGAGCAGCACTCACGATAGCCGGTTCAGTTCTTGAGCTAAATCATTTGGTAGTTGAAAGCGAAAATCAATTGGCACAAAGATGTCGATTTTCTGGGCTTTTCTCTTTAGTTGCAAACAACACAATAAGGCGGCATAAAGGAAACAAAACCTTACAAGGAATTCGCGCGGCAAAGACTAAATTGATATTTCAAATATTCCGAATGGTCAACGGCCAGCAACGTCAGCAGATGTTTTAGAAAAGATCAAAAGGAAGGCCAAGATTAAGACGGACGTTGAGATTAATGTGGAGCTGAGAAAACTTGAGAATAACGGATATCAAACTAAAAGGTGTGCTGTAATCGTGTGAAGCATGTAAGTACAGACAAGACGAAGAGAGCAACTCATTTGTGACTCACATCGGTGTTGTTTGTGTAATTACTGCCGAACTTTGTGTGTCCGCTTCGAATTCGGCTTTTGGAGGACTGAAATATTTGGGAATGAAAAAGCAAAAGAACGATTTACGATCAACCCACGTTGCTATTCGTGTCTGTGTTATACTATTCAAAGAACTCTGCGTAGTGGTTGTCGCAAATAGATCGGTTCTGTGAGGACTTAAAACCACAAAATAAAAGATTTTACCTTAGAAAAGCTTATGAAACCCACGCTACTATTCGCGTTTGTGTTATTTTGTTCAAGGAGTTCTGCGTAGTGGTCTCCGCAAATGGTTCATTTCCGTGCGAACTTAAGCATCACAAAATAAGAAATGCTACTTGGAACTTAGCGGAACTAATACTAAGAAAAGCTTATGAAACCTACGCTACTATTCGCGTTTGTGTTATACTGTTTAAGGAATTCTGCGTAGTGGTCTCCGCAAATGACTCATTTCTGTGCGAACTTAAGCATCACAAAATAAGAAGTGCTACTTTGAACTTTGCGGAACTAACACTACTATTCGCGTCGTCTGGTCAATGCTATTCGAGAAACTGCCCGCGGTGTTAGCTACGATCGGCTTACTTTGAGAGCTTAAAGAACTCTAAATGGAAAAATGCAAATCAACAATTTCTTAGGAACCCACGCTACCACTCGCGTCGGATTATTATTGCTCGGGAAAATCCGCGCAGTATTAGTTGCAAACGGCTCACTTGTTGTAGAGCTTAAAAGAGCAAAACAAAATAAATGCAACATGACGAATTTTTCGGAACCCACGTTACTGTTCGCGTCTGGTCAATTCTATTCGAGAAACTTTTTGTGATGTCAGTTGCGAACGGCCCAGTTTGAGAGCTTACCTCAAAATGAGAAGAATACAAATTGACAATTTTGATAAAAACCTACGCTACCTCTCGCGCCGGGTTATTATTGCTCGGAAAAATCCGCGCAGTATCAGTTGCAAACGGCTTACTTGTTGTGGAGCTTAAAGCGGCAAAACAAGATAACTGCAACATGACAAATTTTTCGGAACCCACTTTACTGTTCGCGTCTGGTCGATTTTCGAAGTTTTTGTGATGTCATTTGCGAACGGCATACTTTAAAAACTTAAACTCAGGATGAAAATAATGCAGATTGACAAATATCATGGAACCTACGCTATAACTCGCGTCTGGTTGTTATTGCCCGGGAAACTCCGCGCAATACTAGTTGCAAACGGCTTAGTTGTAGAGCTTAAATGCAGCAAAATAAAATAAATGCAACATGCCAGATATTTTAGAACCCACGTTACTGTTCGCGTCTGGTCAATTCTATTCGAGAAACTTTTTGTGGTGTCAGCTGCGAACGGCCCACTTTGAGAGCTTACCTCAAAATGAAAAAAAATACAAATTGACAATTGTTAAGAAAAAACCCACGCTACTATTCGTCTCTGGTTATTTTTACTCGAAAAACTCTGCACAGTGTTAGCTGCAAACGGCTCACTTCTTTGCGATCTTAAAAGGCTTAGAATGAGAAAAAATGTAACAAAACAGATTTCGGGAACCTACGCTACTTTTTGCGTTTGTGCGATGTCCCTATGTGTAGTACTCGCTGCAAAGGGCTCAGTTCTTTGAGAGCTAAACACCTCACTATAAAACCCACATATTGTTAGTTTCATTATACCTACACTACTATTCGCGTCTTTGTGATATTATTTGAAACGCGTTTTGTATCGCTTGCTGGAAACGGTTCAGTACTTGGATGACTGAAGTATTTGTTGAATACATATTGCCATGCAGATTTTGCATAACTCACGTTACTATTCGCGTATGTGTGTATGGAGGCTTTCGTGTGGTGTTCTGTGCGAGACACACTTCCAAGACGATCGAAAGGAGCAAGACAAAAAATGATTTATCCAACGTACTCCTCATATGCTGTAGTTATCTGAAGTCATAAAAATTCATTGACAAGTTTTTGAAAATATTTCAAAAACAAACAATAACTAACGAGATAACAATGGTTTGCGTGTTGCAAATAAGGTTAAACGATTGGTCTAGAAAAATGAGCGTCACTCAAGCAAAGACGGGATTTTACAAGAGATAAAGATTTTTTTTGTAAAGAATTAATCTTCCCAAGAAGGAGATGAGATGAAGTACCACAAAGGAGACGAACAGGCACACACTTGGCGCGAAATTGTGCCATGATTATTTATGAGGCAAAGGGGATTGCTACATCAACGAAAAGCAGAATTGCGCACTAGCTCTCCCTCTATTGATGAATGAGTTATGCACTGAAAAGAAAGTGAAACTTATAAAAGCCGTGTCACACATCTCAACACAAATACTTCGGAAACACGATCTTTATTTTATCGAAAGCAAACATGATTTCTATTAGTCTCGCGTGTCAATGAATTGCGAATTACTGAGAAATTGGCAGGTTTGAAAAATTCAGTAATGGTCGCCTTTTGCACCTTTATAATTACAGAAACCAGTTCTTACGAAGTGGTAGACGGAAGTTGCCTGAGATTGATTAAAACGTGGAAGATATATGCAAGCTTTCTAGAACTTCTTGGGTGACAAAGGCTAGCGAGACGTGGTCAGATTCTTCAGTGAAAGGGAACGAGATGTTCATGTTACAGTTGTGAATGAGTCATAATAAAATAACTGCTCGGCCTAGACTACTTGCGAAATTAAGTGCTTGTTTGCCGAACTGCAGTGTTCAATGTACCACTAGTCTAAGCCCAATTCTTGAAATTACTAGAACTACGAAAGTAAGGCAGATGTTGAAAGGTTTTGGCATCACTATAAAAAATAAGCCATCTATGTGTTGAGCAATAATCGGGAGTTGCAAAAAACTGAATTAACTGCAGTTTCCTGATTGCCTTCAATTTATAGCCACTGTAAAGATTTGACCTTGGTTTGGCATTAGTGATCTGTGTTACGCCGAGAAACCCTTAATTGTGCAAGACTAATACGCTACAATACTGCAGTCATACGCTTTTACCGTCACATTCACCTATCACCTGTATCCCTGTATCCCCGTTGATCATCGTGTTGCACGAGCGGGTACCAGTGATGCCTCCATTCGTCCCTGTCTCGGGCGATTGTTGACCAATGTTTACGTATCGCACCAGGAACACGTGGAACGCTCTGAAGGACTTCATTAGAGAACTTCGCGAACATATCTGACCATCGCGTCGACGGTCTTCCTCGTTCGCGTTTGACGTCCAGTGGTATCCAATCTGTTACAGCTCTCGTCCACCGGTTGTCGTCGAAACGCATTACGTGCCCGGCCCATCTTATCTTGTTCTGCTTGGCGTACGCGGCAGCGTCCCTGATCTTCGATCGTTGACGTAGGGTAGAACTTCGTAATCCTTGCCTCACTTGCGTGAGTCGATTCACTCCTAGCATCACTCTCTCAACAGCTCGTTCGATGACGCTAACCGCGTGTTCATCCTGCTTTCTCATTGTCCATGTTTCTGAAGCGTACGTCAAAGCAGGAAGAACCGTCGAGTTGAAAAGGTGGGCGCGGAGCCGGATGTTCTTGGTCTTCTTCACTACGTCCTCAATTGTCTTATATGCTCCCCATGCTGCACCTTTCCTCCTGCTCAGTTCCGGAGCTAGATCGTTCATCATATTGAGTTCACGACCTAGGTAGGTGTAGCTTGAGCATTCGGTGATGTTCGTCCCGTTGAGCATGAAAGGAGCATCAGGCACTCTTCCGTTCCTCATGAACATCCTCCTCATTAGATTCAGCCGTAGACCTATCTTTCCACACACTTCGTCAAACTGGGCCAGCATTTGTTCCGCCTGCGTGATGCTTGGTGTTATCAATACGATGTCATCAGCAAAGCGAAGGTGGTGTAGCTGCCGGCCGTCGACTTTCACTCCCATGTTGTCCCATTCCAACTTACGCATGACGTTCTCCAGAGCGGCACTGAATAGTTTCGGCGATATAGTATCGCCTTGTCGCACGCCTCTCTTCACGTCAATGATGATGTCCTTGTAGAATGGTGTTATGGTGGTTGTGAAGTCGTTATACAGCTCACGAATTATCTTGATGTAATGAGTCGGAATACCTTGATTGCTCAAGGCATCGATGACGGCTTCAGTTTCAACCGAGTCAAAGGCCTTCTTCAAGTCGATGAAGGTGAGACAGAGCGGCATCTTATACTCTCGTGACACTTCAATGAGCCTTGACACCGTGTGTATGTGGTCGATCGTGCTGAATCCTCTTCGAAACCCAACTTGCTCGCATGGTTGTCCTTCGTCCAACTCTCTTCCGATCCTGTTGAGAATGACTCGCGTAAAGAGTTTGTAGACTACAGACAACAAGCAGATAGGGCGATAATTGCCGATGTCGCAGGGATCTCCCTTCTTGTACAGCAACACGGTTTTGCTGGTCTTCCATTGCCTTGGAACCTTGCCTTCCGTCAGGTACCGCGTGAAGAGCCTTGCCAAAGTCTTGATGAGAACTGGCGAAAGATTCTTCAGATGTTCTGGCTTAATCCTGTCGGGACCGGGTGCTGTACGGTTTTTCATCGACATGATAGCATGACGAATCTCGGAAGGAAGAACAGACGGTGCGACATACTCGTCCTCCTCGAGATGGCATGGTGGAAGGTGGACGTGGCTCGCAAAAAGATCCGAGTAGAAGTCGTGGATGACCTTCTCCATTGATCTTCGGGAAGCAGTTATGGTTCCGTCAGGACGACGAAGTGCGGTCATCTTTGTCTTGAAGTTGGCGAAGCTTCGGCGGGCGTTGCGTATACTTCTTCCAGCCTCCGCGGCGTCAACCATCACTGCTACTCTTCTCTCCTTAAGGTCTTCTTTTATCGCTTCCATACCTTCGATAGTCTAGAGACAGGGCATCAAAAGTGAAGGTTGTTTGAACATCTGACGTCATAAATAGTGAAGGTTGTCCAAAGAAGATCAGAGATGAGAAAATGACGTAAAACGGATATAAAAAGCAAAAGAAATGGCTGAAAACCGGATAAAAACGCTGCAAAAAGGTTTGAAATCTTTCAATTGGCGGCATTCAAGGTGCAAGTTTTCGCTCCAGGACCAGCAATTCGCAACACGGGGTTTTGATTTTTGATGCGTCCTTTAAATTTTTAGCCCCGCATTGACGTTTCTGTTTCCTGGGACGTTGTCTGGATTGTTGCGCTTATTGTTCTGAGCAACAATCGCCCCAGCTGGAAAAAAATCGCTGCGAAAGCACTGAAACAGAACAAGGTAAAGAAAAACGCACTTTTTTCGATTTTTCGCAAAAAATTCTATCATAATCGAAGAAGTAAGGGCTGGGTGGTTGTCTGCATTATGAGCAGAAGCAAGATCTCTAGAATGCACGAAAAAACCGCGTGAAAAGAGTTAAACTAGAAGAAAAACAAGAGATTTTCAAAAACAAGGTTTTTGCCGGATTTCTTGATCAAATCAAAGAATGTGGTTCTGGGACGTTGTCAGCGTGAAAACAAAGAACAAGAGCTTCAAAATGATATATAGCTTGCTAAAATTGGGTTCCAAACAGCGAAGAAAAGGGTACCAGAGCCAAATGCCCCGCGCCCCGCGTTTGGGGTAACGAGGTAGCGCGCAGCGCGCGGAGACGCAGACGAGCAGCGGAGACAGACCAGAGCCGACGGGGCATTTGGCTCTGGTCGTAGGTCTCTGCGGGGTCTCAAAGAAACCCTGCAACATTATATATCATTCTGATCGTCATGGCACGGCGAGGAGAACTGACAACGTTCCAAGCTTTGAAAGCCACTCATTAGCGAGATAGACCAGCGTTCTCATGCGCAACCCTCTGCGAAAGATTTGAGCACAGCTTCTCCTTCAATATAACTCCAACAGCTTTCCTAAACTTCTGATACTCAATTTTGGTCAAATGAGAGGTTAACAGAGAAATTTCGTCTTGAATTCTGGCAAAAATTCCACAGAAACCTTCCTTTCAACGTAAAAAAGGCTATAAAACGCAAATTCTCGGTTTCGCTGAGATAAAGTAACAATATTATTCCCTATATTTGCTTCATTAGCATTCGTTCCGAAATAGTCAGGATGAAAACATCCGGGGCGAAGCCCCGGATGACTTCTGTTTTTTTCCAGGTGAAGGTTGTGTCCCCTCATAGCCCTCAAAGTGAAGGTTACCAGAGTACGTGACTCTATGTATCGAGGGTATGATCGCTTCTCTGCATCGCTTCGCAAGCTCGGACGTCAGTCGGTAGTTGCCTGTGGCTCGTGCGCGTCCACGTTGGCGTATCAGCTCCAAAGTCCCCGTGGTGAGACGCCTTCTCGTACTTCTTAGACTCTGAGCTGAACTCTGACCGTCACATTAACTGGAGGAAATTGTCCATTTGGATGAATACTGAACTTTGTAATGATACTTGTAATATTGCAAACAAATTAGGACAAAAAGTTGATGATTCTTATTGGAAGGAGATGACGAAAGAGAATAGGATTGAAGGAAGGAAAATGAAGTCCTAAGCCGTACAACACGGTTTTCCATCAATTCTCTGTTTCTCTTTAAGGTGTGTTGAAGTGAAGTAAAAATGTGGTTCTATAACATCGATCAGACTCTCTAATGTTAGCATCACCTGATCACAATCCCATTACCAGCAAGCTGTGGCGTACCGAGAGAGGGGGGGGGGGGGGAAGGCGGGGGGCCGCCACACCCGCGAAGGGGTATTGAAATTTCTGAAAGTTACTTAAATGTGTTATAACGATGTGCAGAGGACTTGATTTTACTTGTAAACAATTGAAATAATTTTTAAAAATCTTTAAAAATTCAAATTAGCCTTGTAAAAAATTTTTTCTGGGGCGTAGCTGCCGCCACGCCTCCTCGCTCTAAAATTTTGGGGTCAGGGGCCCGAAAAAATTTTGGGAATGCATGGCTAACGCCACGCATCTTCATCCGAAATTTTTTTCATTGCCTCCCCCTCTCTCCCCCCCCCCT